ATCTTCCAACTCCCGGGGTCTTCTGGCGTACATCAGACCGACGGCATGCGGGCCGCTTTTTTTGAACAGGCAATTCGACCTGAACATTCTCCATCGTTCTGTCATCAGCAGAAGTCACGAAAGAGTGCAGAAGATGCCCACGTCTTATCTGACGTCACCGAAATCGGTATGAACTGCCATGAAAGCGAGCTCTTTCGACAACATACTTCTAAGGCATTCGCGGTCGACTCTCCCTTGACTTTTGGAGCTACCAGTGTTAATGAGACTCTTATGTCTCGCGATTACTATTGACAGATCCCTTGAGCGTTTTACGTGTTAGTTTTAACTTCAAGTCAGATAAAGCCCACAGATCACCTTTCGGCGTCCGGAAAACATGCGCTAGGGACATCATTCATGTTGTCTGTTAATTAAGAGAAAGGCTTTGACGTTGGCAGTGAGTCTAAACTTTTCGGTGGGGCATATGAATCCTGTCAAAAATAGAAGGATTTTAACTCTGGTCAATGTAGCGTTTTAAAACATTTCTAGCCCGGATTCACAGCCACCAGATCTCTTCGCAACGGCAATTACCGCGTTTCTGGCAGAACAAATTATTGCCCACTTCACTGGAACCACACTTGCGTAGACTGTCATCAGATCGACGTCTTCCACACGACGTCAACATTTGCAAGGGGACGTGGCGACCATCGGCCCCGAAAATATCATTAACGAGGCCAATCAATAAGCGGTGGGTGGAGAATGCCATATTTGTCTGAAGAGGGGGTGGAGGTGGGGTTTTTGTTTACATGCACTAATGAGGAGTGGGGATAGCCGAAGTTCTTAAGACCGGAACAAGATACACGGTAACTGCTCACATCTTGGGAAGCAGACCACTTTGATATTGCCCACTACAGCTTCTTTCCACATTTCCAATTTCCAATTTAAAATCATAGAATTCGAACCGAGATGAAAAGTTTTCCCTGTCCTTAGCCATGCACGTTACGCAGACACTAGTTGGAGTTGATCGGCCTTCTTCAGGAACTGGCAGCTGCACCTCGAAATAAGAGCACGGCCCAGTTCCACTGCAAAGATGGCTGTGTGCACGCCATTGAATGTCTGCCCACGGCGACGAAGACAAAAATTCCTGCGGTCGCCATGGCCGTTTCAAGTCACCGCATCCTACTGACGGCCGTCCCGGCTCCACAGAGTTCAAAGGGCGCCCTTAAATAACATCTCGAAGTATTTCGGTTCGCAGGAGATCAAATGGCGGGCCAAAAGAAAAAAAAATGTTGCCAATTTTCAATTATTCCTCTCGTCCCTCTCGGAGCTGATTTGAAAGAGACTGAGAATGTTCGGCGGATTCTAAATGCGTCGCATCACGAGCTGCCAATTGTTCTCGCCTCTCGTTACCTAACAAACTGGCAGGTGAGACAAATTCGTTACTTGTACTGCGCAGTAGAACATCGGAAGCAAATTGCAACCTGCAAAGACGTTCACTCCGGAAGTCCATTAATACTCGATTCCCTGCTAATTTCAAATTTCTCGTGCTTATTGCAGACAACGCACTGCAAAAGCGCGTGACGCAATTTACGCACATAGTAAAAACGGTAGGGCATTCGCCAGAATTTGTCCTTTGCGTATGGAGCCAGTGAATTCATCGTTCTTTGTAGCGATGTCGCCTGTCTGAATAGGCGATGACGTCATCCCCATGTGGTTTATTAAAATGGTTTGGCACTCCCCCCTCTCTTTAATTACCATGCATAGAAAAGCATAGAAAGTGATATTATTATTGTCAAATTTTAAACAAGACTCAAACGTGCAGAAAATTTTTAGTGCAACTGCCGAATAGTACGTGTCATCAGGAGAATGATTCCGCGGTTA